CTCATCTTTCTCCTTTTGCGTTTTACAATTCGCGGTCGCAAACTTGTTCTGACAAAGACAACCTTACATTGAAAGTGATAAATCGGTATGTACCGCTTTACCTTTTTTTACCTTGATTAACCCCGCCAACGCGTTGGCCCTTTCTAGCAAATTCGTCATTTTCTGGTTACCCTAGTTAGTGTATGTACCTGTCTCTAACACCGTACTTACCTTCTGGGGGGGGGGAACTTTGCAGGCTCGTGATTGTCAACAAAATAAAAAGGGACCCGCTGCATCACTCCGCCTACCTCGTTAGGTTTATTAGGGAGCCAGAAAAAATAGGTCGCTACTCGCGCAGACTCCATTCTATCCACTGACGACTTCTGCATTTCTGCATTTTTTCGCCTTTTTCTCCCAATCTTGCTTAACGTGTCGCCGACGAATAGACAAACAAACGTCCCTTCTGCTGCGTCGATCCAGCAATAATACAGTCCTTCGAAAGACAATTTTTCTTTTTTGCTTTCCGGACTATTTTAGGACATTCAACTTTTTTTCAACGTCGACTACGAAACAACTTCTACTACCCCCCATTTCTCTACACCACAATTAATAAAGACCCCCAGTCTACCATCTACAACATTCGACTTCTCAAGATCTGGATTCGAAGTAAAAACAAAAACCGCAAACCAAGTTATCGGCTGTGTAGACAAAATGGCTGATAACAGTGATATCAACACTGTTCTCAGCAACTCGCTGTCGCCCGGTAAGTAGCATGTTTGGCGCCTCTCGTGCTCGCAACCTCACCTTCTTCACCTCATAGTTTCCTAAGCTCTCTGCTAACCCTTAATTTTTTCCCCTCGTCTCAGACGCAGCTACGCGAACTGGCGCCGAGCAACAGCTTACCCAAGCTGCTGAGAACAATTTTGTAAGTTTCCATTGGCACGTTTGATATCACTGTCTACTGCGTAATCGCTAACCTATTATTTTTCTTCCCTCTCTAGCCCCTCTACCTCGCGACCCTAGTCCAGTCCCTGGCGGACGAAAGTGCCCAGGGCAATATCCGAGTTGCCGCAGGTCTCGCGTTGAAGAACGCCTTCAGTGCTCGCGAATTCGCCCGTCAGCAGGAACTACAGGCCAAATGGCTGCAGCAGACGGATCAAGAGACTAAGGACCGAGTCAAAGCACTCGCCCTACAAACCCTTGCATCCGACAATGCGCAAGCTGGTCAGGCTGCTGCTCAAGTCATCTCTTCGATCGCTACTATTGAACTCCCCAGAAACCAATGGCCAGATCTTCTACAAGTCTTGGTGCAGAATGTCAGCACTGGCGCGCCGCATCAAAAACAGGCATCCTTGACCTGCATAGGATATGTCTGCGAGAGCCAAGATGCCGACTTGCGAACCGCGCTGATCGGACACTCTAACGCTATTCTGACCGCTGTAGTCCAGGGTGCTCGTAAGGAAGAGACGAATTTGGAAGTCCGCTACTCGGCCATTTCCGCGCTCGGCGACTCTCTCGAGTTTGTTGGTAACAACTTCAAGCACGAAGGCGAACGAAACTACATCATGCAGGTCGTTTGCGAGGCCACCCAAGCCGATGATGCGCGCATACAGCAGGGTGCCTTCGGCTGTCTCAACCGTATAATGGCGCTCTATTACGAAAACATGCGCTACTATATGGAGAAGGCCCTGTTTGGTCTGACGATCCTAGGCATGAAGAATGAAGATGAAGACGTGGCAAAGCTGGCCGTGGAGTTCTGGAGTACCGTATGCGAGGAAGAGATAAACATCGAGGAAGACAACGCGCAGGTATGTCTTTGCAGCCTACAGGAATTTCATAACAGACTAACGAAAACGTTGCGTAGGTCGAGACTGCTGACCAGATGCGTCCGTTCTATAACTTCGCTCGTGTCGCGACTGGTGAGGTCGTCCCTACCTTACTGAAGCTCCTCACCAAGCAGGACGAGGATGCCACGGATGACGAGTACAACGTGTCGCGTGCCGCGTATCAATGTCTCCAGCTCTACGCTCAGGCTGTCGGCCCTAACATTATCCCGCCTGTGATTCAATTTGTCGAGCTAAACTTGCGATCCGAGGATTGGCATTTCCGAGAGGCTGCGGTCGCTGCCTTTGGAGCCATCATGGAGGGACCTGACGAGAAGGTTCTAGAGCCTATAGTAAAGCAGGCCTTGCCCGTCCTGATCTCCATGATGGATGATAGTTCCACTTTTGTGAAGGATTCGACAGCTTATGCGTTGGGCCGCATTACGGAAGCGTGCTCCCAGGCTATCGATCCTACCCAGCACCTTGATCCTCTAGTTCGATCCCTGTTTGCTGGTGTTCATGATTCCAAGATGGCGGCATCCTGCTGTTGGGCACTGATGAATCTAGCCGAGCGTTTCTCTGGAGACTTCGATGCAGCCTCCAACCCTCTTACGCCTCACTTCAACCAGAGTGTCCAGACGCTTCTCGCTGTCACCTCTCAGCCCGGCTCCGAGACCGCCGTTCGTACTACTTCTTATGAGGTTCTCAGCGCATTCGTCCAGCATGCCGCGACAGACAGCTTCCCGGCTATTGCCCAACTCTCTGACGTCATCATCAAGCGACTTGAGGAGACTATTCCTATGCAGACCCAAGTCGTCAGTATCGAAGACAAGATTGCGTTGGAAGAGATGCAAACAAGTTTGGGCACCGTCCTACAAGCGATTATCCAGCGGCTGGAGAAGGAGATATCACCCCAGGGAGACAGAATCATGCATGTCTGCCTTCAGGTTCTCAACTCCGCCGGTGCCAAGTCTAGCGTTCCCGAGTCGATCTTTGCTACGATTAGCGGTCTAGCCAATGCGATGGAAGAGGAGTTCGTCAAGTACATGGATGCTTTCTCGCATTTCCTATACAACGCCCTTGGAAACCAGGAAGAGCCTGCTCTTTGCTCGATGGCTATCGGCCTTGTTAGTGACATAACACGATCAATGGGCGAGCGCAGCCAACCTTACTGTGACAACTTCATGAACTACCTCTTGAACAATCTTAGGGTTTGTTTTATCTCTTTTTAAAAAATTCATTTCCTTTATCTGGATTATGTATCTAACAAATTTCACAGAGCACAGCCCTTTCCAACCAGTTCAAGCCCGCCATCCTTCAGTGCTTTGGTGACATTGCCAACGCCATTGCTGGCCACTTTGAGACCTATCTTTCGGTTGTCGCTCAAGTCCTAGTACAGGCTGCCACTGTGACGGCTGCCCCTGATGGCTCCTACGAACTCTATGATTACGTCATCTCTCTTCGAGAGGGAATCATGGACGCTTGGGGTGGTATTATTGGTGCCATGAAGATCAGCGGGAAGAGTGAGTGATCTTCCAAGATTGTTTAAAAACAGTGCACCAATGCTAATGATTAAATAGCCGAGGCCCTTCAGCCATTCGTTCAGAGCATCTTCCACCTGCTGAATCTTATCTCTCAAGATATGAACCGCAGCGAGGCATTAATGCGATCGTCTATGGGAGTTATTGGGTAAGAAAAATGTCTCCGACTTTGAGTGCATCTGCTAACGAACAAATTAGTGATCTAGCTGATGCTTACCCCAATGGTGAGCTCGCCGAAATTTTCAGACAAGATTGGGTCACTGCTATGATCAAGGAGACCCGAACAAACCGCGAATTCCAGTCACGCACGATCGAGACAGCCCGATGGGCTAAGGAGCAGGTCAAGCGACAAATCGGCGGCACTGCCTCGGTCATGCAGCAGACTTGAACCCAAGGATTTCACTGATTAATTCCTCGGAAAAGCCCTTCGTACAAAGATATCACCACCCATCACACCCGATCCTCCCGACGTGCAAGCCCGACTCAGGTTTAGCCTTGCAAGCAAAGTTCGGAGGGGAACCCAGCAGCACCGATTCCCAAGCCCCAAGCCCCCAGCCCAAGCCCCCAGCCCCATCCCCATCCCCCGCCAATCTACCCTGAAGAAGACCCATGTGTATCTGTATATAAATCCCCAAGCCCCTGTTCGTTACCCTAGTAATCAAACATCCCCTACCCCCCCAATCGACGTACGGAAATTCACTGCCCACGCCCCACAGTTCCCCGATACACCGCACTTGCTGAGTTTTCCTTCGGTTTGGACTGCAAAGTCGATCCGGAGATATGTCTATTCCCTGTAGAGAAGATCTTGTCATGTACGCCCCCCTACTTCGGATGGGGCCACGAATTCATGTAACGAAGGTGGAAGGATGAAGCAGAAAGAAAGAGGATGTGTATGAATGTCAGGAGAGAGTGGCCATAAAGGCCCGCGACGCACTTGGCTGGGGTTTTTTGTCGGTTCAAGTGAATAGACATACCAGAAACCCGTTGGAAGTTCCGGAGAGCCTTTTCGGGAGGCTGGTCAGGTGGAGAGTACAAAGAGATTGGCTACGAAGAGCCGTCCACTCGACAAGACTCACTCACTCTGCTCTGTACGCGAGTGATTGAAAAGTTCCCCTCTGGTTGTTAGTGGGCTCGGCGGCAGAAGTTTCTACGATCGGTCGGTCAGCCAACTTATTTCACCGGCCCCAGTTCTGCTCGTCTGGCGCACGGAAAGTACGAAAGTGCATGATACGGAGGTAGATAGGCTAGTAATTCACAAATGAAGAGGCTTTTCTACCCATTTGACGTCTTTTATAACCGACTTAGATGGATACGTCGTAGACCTGTGGTGGTGAGGTGACATGATGTAGGATTACTACGGGATATGTGACATAAAGATAAGGTAGGTAAAGGTAGGTAGATATGAAAAGGGGGCTGTAAGATACAAGTTCTCGTAAGTAAACCCTACCTATGTAACTGCCTAGGTACTTAAATCATAGATGCGTAGGTACCTACCTAGGTAGGTATGAGCTCTGGGTAGACTAGACACTTGAGATTGTCCATGTTTGATGTTTGTCCAAATGTCTCCTAAGCCCCGTGACAAGTACAGGTACCTTATGTTTAGATATAGCATGACTTGCCCTGACAAAGAACACAACGCGACGAGACGGTGTGACAGAGCCCCATGGCGCAGTGGAAGCGCACCGGGCCCATGACCCGGAGGACCTCCGATCGAAACGGAGTGGGGCTACTGCTCTTTTTTTCTTTCATGTTCTTCTTTCACTTTGGGCCTTCTTAAACGATAGGTTTGTATTAGTGGCAAGGTGGGAGTTGGGCTTCTATGAAGGTCCCTCCCTCATGGATACCGTACGATTGCTAGGCATGGCTAAGCAAGTATGAATGTATTGGTGGTAGACGTATTTCTTTCACCTCAAGGGATGAATATTCCGTGTCAGTTTTGAAAATAAAATAGGATAACGTTTGCTCCCTATGTTTAAATACACACAGCCAGACCGGAGGCTGATGATCTATCCTCGATGATGGCATATATAACTATAAATATGTAGGTAGCTTATCGTTTAAATTCACTTTCCTCCTCCCGCCTTTCCCTTTGCCTATGTACCTTGGCAGACCTGACGCACCTTATAAACACCACCAGCCCATTTCCCCCACTCGATAACGTAACGTAAAAGAAGAGACCGCCTATTATCCCAACGAGGAATGGTATAAATAAGAAACATAACGCGCACTCTAAATCCGTACTTTTATGTGAATTCGCGGTAGATATGTAGCTAGATATGTATAGTGATATGTGGTCATGGGAATGAGATCGTAGTTGTACGAGTCGCTAGCATTGAAACCATGCTTTATCCGTAGAAGAGGCAAGGTAAGCAGCAATCCTTGCTGACGTATGGAATATGACAGGGTTGATCTCGTCTAGATGGTGAGGAAATGCCAAAAAGAGCCTTCATTTCACCTCCCTCCCCTCGAGAGACGACGGGGTGAATGCATTACCCCGGCCGAATTGAACTGGGCCGGGGTAATAAGTTGAATGGTGTGAATGAACAGTCTATGAATAGCAGCTGTAGTCCTTTCCCGGGCCATGCGTCTAGGCCGGCAATGACAAGACGCCTTCGCCGGTTCGCGCCGTGTCTAGTTTAATGCTGGGGCAGATAACTCGGTATATCGTACGTGCCGTACATGACGCCCGCCGCATCCGTCGTGGTCCACTGGCCGCCCGCGCCGTTAACCAGCATCTGCAGGTTGCTGTCAAACCCATCGTTCAGCGGCGTCGTCCCCGAGTACTCGGGGTAATACGTGGCGGTGGGTTGCGGTTGCGGTTGGTGCGGATGTGGGTGTTGGTGCTGATACGGATCCATTGCGGGCGGTGCTGGTGCTGGGGTCTGGTGCGACGCTTCGACCAGCATGTCGAGCCCCGAGTTTGGGTATACATGTTGCGCGGCGTAGCTCTGCGGGTGCGGCGGTATTGGGTGTTGTTGGTGATGTGCTGATGCCGTTGCGTACGGCGCCTGCGACAGCGGCGGCAGACACACGGGCTGAACGTAGCCCGGCGGCGTCTGCTGCAGCGGCGCGAGTCGGTGCGGCTCGGGACCCTTGCCGACGGCAGGACGCCCTCGTTCTTCCGCGCGTGGCGTCAGCGGATCAGTGCGCAAGCGCTTGCAGAAGTTCATAGCTTCGGGCTGCAGCGAGCTGGTGGTGGTCCGAGGGTGCATGACACTAAGAGCGTAGGGTTGAGGCTCTTTCTGGGGGTGATGTTAGTTTCGACCGCAATTCAGCTATGGTCTTCTTGGCGAGAGGGACTTACTCCGTCGGTCATGGTGCCGGCTTGGAAGGATATTCTCTTGGGGTTCGGATCCTTGTACCACTTCTCTAGGCCATTGCACCAAGTCTCGGCGAGCGGCCATGCCTTTTGGCATTCCCTTAGTACGGTGACGATGCGGGTGTACATCGTGCGGCCTTCCGCTTGTATGGTCTCGAGGTTCTGGCCCGCGTGGTGAGCTTCCACTATACGCCCTCGGTTAGTAAATTCTGAGATAGATGGCATATTCATCCTTGAGGGAGATCCTACGTTGGGGAAATTTGCATAAATAGGAGGCTAATAAGCCACAGCCATAGATAATGAAACCCTAGAAATTTTAGTAATGGGTACTCTGGTATAATGACACCTCACTTACAGCCATCTGAGAACCAACTCGTCCTATTTCAACATCATCTTCGTAATGAGCCTCGATCTGCGAGTACAGTTTCCTGACATTGAAGAACAGCTCCGCCGCCATGTCTTTGTAGAATTTGACCTCAGGGTTCGAGGGGTTCCCTTGAGCATGGCGAATCATGCTTAAATTAAGATTTTAGAAGCATTCAAGCCTAACGTGGGTGGTAATCACTTACTCTTCCATGTATTCCTTGCGGAGCACGATATGACAAAGCCGGATGCAGCCGGTGAGACCGAGATACGCCTTAGGCTTCAACATTAGCAACAGACTCCGACAGCGGTAAGCATCACTATCCTCACCAGGTCCTCTGCGTAGTTTCTGTAGCCGCTCAACGTAACCCTACCAAACGTATGCTCGCTCGGGAGGTTCTGTTCGAAGTCCGCGAGTCGCCTTGTCAACTTGGCGTATTCGCTGTTGCTATCGTTGGGCCGCCCGCATTTCTTGTTGAAAAGAACTCGCCGGGCAATGATTCCCCAGAGATTGTGCGCTTGCATCAGAGACGCAAATAGCGATCTCGGCCTGAGGATCGTCAGTCTCGGGTTTTGGACAGCTGGCGGTGTGCCGTCGAGGGCTGCACGTTGCTCAGGGATCGTGCCGGCCTCGAATTCTCTTTCATCGCTGGGAAGGAGGGCGGTGATATCGCCTGGCGCAAGTGATAACGGCTTATACGGGCCTGAAGAGAGATTGTCTTGGCCTAGAAATCTAGTTAGAAGAGCTCAAGTGCGGTTCTGTTAGTCTAACATACTATGTAACATCCACTATAGGCTCAAGAGTTAGTAGATTGGCACCTACAGTAGAATCAAATATATGAGAGGTGAAGGATAGATTCAATGAGCTCAACTAATTCATGGGGTGGACTCACAAATGTGCGTCTAGCAGATTCTGCCCTCACTCGATGATCTACAGGCGACTGCGATGTGATCGGACTATATGCCTCCTCCCGATGGAGTCTCATTAGTGCAGCCATCCTGAAAGCGATACCTGCACTAATCTGTTTTTATTGTGAGAAGGCCAAGTCTGTCAACGGCTCACTTGGGGTCTCATCTTACATAACTTGTATTTGACTTGCCGCTCCCTTGTTCGGCGATACTAAGGAGGTAAAAGGCCTGGCATCTTTCTAAGGTGGGTTGCTGGTACAGCTCGTGAATAGCAAGGCATTGTGCCTTATACATGAACTCTGTCGCCGCCTTGAGCCCCTCGCCGTGTGCTGCTATAATAGCCTTGTTGAACCTGGACGAAATGGCTAGAATACTCAGCAAGAGAAATACGCTCATGGACGAAGGGTTCTCTTGGACCTGTCTAGGAAACCTCTTCTTAGGGATGAAGCCTAGTTGGTAGTAGTTCTTGGTAAAGGTATTGATGCCGTCGACGATGGTATCGACCCCCGGAAGTAGCTCCCACTCATTTTCCATATTAGGAGGCTTGTAGTCATTGAGCGCACGGTGCAATGAACGTGGAGACGTAGGCGCTTCCCTCTTGACTTTGACGTCGCTTTTGGCCCTCTTGTCAGCCCTCTGGCGTGGGTGCCGAAATTGACGGTCCTGGTCCGAGTCGCCACGAGTAGGAAAGGCGCTATGTTAGTGTAAGCTTTGGGGACCTAAGGAAAGTGAAGATCAAAGATTGTTATTAGAGATTTGAATACCATTCTTCTGGCACGTTCGCTTCTAGGCAAGACTTGCAAGGGGGTGCCTTCTCGTGAATGCATTTGCTGCGCATCCGCCGACATCTACAGAGACATTAGGATTTCGTGACGACTATTAGCAGGAATCCTCTAGGCAAAATAGTAATATACCTTCGGCAGGCTATTGGAGCACGTCGCTTAATAGGCGGCGCATTCGGATCCGGGGTGGATGCAACGGTGGGTGTAGACGGCGGTGGAGACGAAGACGGGTAGGTCTCCGGACCTGACACCATCATCATCCACAATGATGCTTGGTGAAACGGGGCGTTTAAACGTCTTGGATGGACTCTGAAGTCACACAAATAGTTCCAATTTTAGGAATTGGGTCCGCCGTGTAACTAATAACTAGCTCCCGGTTCTACGACCCATGAAAGAGAGGGACCGCGGCGGGTTTGGCCCAGTCCTGCCTAGTCATACACTAGTTCTCGAGGCCGGGTCCGGGGCTTTGGTAGGTATCTAATATCTAATTCAATCAATTTCAAAGATGCGATTCGTAAAAGCGCCGCAGAGACATTTGCTATTTGCGTTCGTGTGGGATGTGTATACTCAAGCGAGAGAATTTACTCAAGGGTAGAAGGCGAGACCGACGTTTCACACGAGATATGGTTGAAAATGGCTGGTCCGTGGAGAGCCTTATGAGATTATCAATCCAGTTCGATCTCCAGAAATAAGGCGAGTAATAATTCGCAGGTATCTCTCAGATACTACCCTATCGATCACACCCCCCGGCAGCCTATATGTAGCCTAGCGTCTAGCCCTGCTCTCCCACAGATGGAGGTACATAAGCGAAACCGGGAAAGCACCAGCAGCGTCGTAATGCGGTGAATCAAATCCTATGCGGAAAAGTCGAGAATTCGAAAAAAAGATACGGAAGCCAAGTGGTTCAATACAACGTTGTAACACGACGACTACCTATATCGATAGGCGCTTAGACTGCTACATAAGTAGGTAATTAGTATGACAAACACGAACCGTAATCCGCGGATATACACTTGAAGTACCTCTGTATTGTACAGATTAGGCACTCGGCATGGATCGAGACAGCCAAGCATTCGGCCCGCCATAAATCGGAAAGGACCCGCGGGATATAGCAATCCTGGGGTGAACGACCCTAGTTGCAGCTATTGGGTGATCACTTTTCATGCACCATACAACTCGACTACATGCCTCAAAATCAAGCCAGAATCGAAACCGGTGTGATGGGCCATACCAATACCGTGACCCACAAGCCAAATACCGGAGCACTGTGCGGCTGAACGAAGCCGAAGTCAACGACAATGGAGATCTTTGGAGCCACGCTAGCCTAATCAGATCCGCCACGCCACTTAAAGCTGA